TGTGCACAAAATCCCTCCAAAGGCGTTCACTTAGCGTAGAGACACACAGCAAGGCAGGGTAAATTCATCCTAAGTACAAAGGGAGATTGGTTGATCTGCCGTGTCTCACTCGGAGGGTTTGGTCCCGCAAAGTGTCATTGTTAATAGATACGGATGCCGTGAAAGTATTGTCAAACTTTATTTCCACATATGGACAAAGAATTGGATTCAGGCAGAGCAGTATGGAGAAGACGTCCCTGATGCGACTACAATCAGTGGACAGGCAAGGACCATGAAATGCTATGCATTTATGAACTGAAATAAATATATTAGGACGCCGCATGTCTAGGACATATTGTTAATAAATCAAACAATCAAACAAACAAAAAAGAAATAAACAAGCACACAAATGCCCCAAATCCCCATCCCCCTGAATAAAACCAGAACGACAACAACAAAATTCATCAAAAGAAAATTTAAAATATTGAAGATAATTATTATTCCCAAATACCCAAACCAATACCCAAAGGTCTGGCAGAAAGTGTAACAATTCGTGATAAAAAGTGCAGAAAGCCAATGGAAAAGGAAAATAAAATACGTCACAATGTGTAACAGTGTTAATAACATATACTGACTATTACCAAAATAAAAAAGTACAAAACTGTAATTTTAATATTTGGCAGCCATTTAATCATTATATGTCTGTACGATGACAAGTTCTTTCAGTATCTAAAAAACAAAAATATTAAAGACTTGAAGAAGAGTACTATTTTTCTACATGTTGTCAAATAGCCTAGCTAAGCCTAAACTATCAAGCATAAACATGTAAGCACCAAACCAGATCGGAGGTATCATATCGTGCACTCTTTAAGGCAAAAAGAAAGCTGATCAAACCCAAAATCCCAAAATACCTGTTTCAATATAAACGACAAACAACAAGTATGCAATAATTTGTGTCTAGAGTGGCCCGATATTTTTCTTATTAACCCTAGGTCGTCCAGAGCAGTTGAATTTTTATTTCTTGTGTAAGGTGTCTTGAAGAAAGTTGTTACAAAACTTAAGGCTTTCAGCTCTTTATAACATCCTTCTTATCTGTATTATATACATTATGTGCATAAACTGAAATCACCAAAGTTGCAAACATAGTTTGTAGATTTATGTTAGCAATGATTGATAAATTTTATTTTGTGTCATCTCCTCTATTCCGGAAAATAGCTGTTAAAGTTCTGCGGTTATGCAAGTATCGCAATTCCATAATTTCGTATAAGTGTGTTTATTCTAACCTTTAAATCCATTATTTTACCAATCTGACATTTGTTTCAGCATACCTCATGCACAATTGGTTTTCTTTAATCACTTAAAACGTTATACGTGATTCTTTTTTTATTACAAAAATCCTTATAAATGGTCACTGCATACTGATATTTCATTAACAATAATGGAAAAATAATTAACGCATTTTTCAATTCAATGAATACTTACCACATTTATATCATTAATTGCTTTTTGTGAGGCAATTAACAAATGTTCAGCTTTAAGGTCAACCGGTTATCCAATATATTGAATGGTTTTATCTGATGGAAATGAACTTACTCTCTAATTGGCCGTATATGTTGATATCATCAATATAATTGAATTTCACATCCAAAGATCAAAATATGATTTATTTCGATAAGACATATTATTCGTTTTCAAACATCAAAGAAAGAAAACATCAGACACAGAATTTTGCTTACACATCATTTCAGATATGGATACATTTACAACTTTTGCTAATGTTGTAAGTTATTATGTATGTTTTGTTTGTTTTTGTTTTGATTAGGTTTTACGTCACATCGACACAGTATAGGTCATATCGCGACGTTCCTGCTTTACTGGTGGAGGAAGACCTCAGGTGCCCCTCCGTGCATTATTTCAGGCACGAACGGGCACCTCCGACGTTCCGTAAGCTAGCTGGATAGCTTCCTCACATGGAAGAATTCAACTCCCTGTCGGGATTCAAACCCACAGAGGTGAGGGGCAAGTGGTTTGAAGTCAACGACCTTAACCACTCGGCCACCGACGCCCCTAGAGTGGATTGACAGATAGTAAACAAACACATAATATATTGCCAATAGACCATTAATAATTCAATAAAATTCTATTTTAAAGAATTTCTAAAGAATACTTTACCATATGAATGAATTATGCTTTCCTATTAAAAATGTTTCAGTGTTCATCTCCTTTATTCCACATATGAAATGTTAAAACTAAATAGTTTAAACCTTTAAATTTAATGATTTGTCTAGTACGGACTGGGAATTAAATTGCTCTGATAAATTGCAATTATGTAGAAAGTTTATCAGATCAGAACCAAATTATCGTTCTTTAAAAATCTGGATAAAGTGCGATAGTTGAAAATCGTATATACAAATGTTTGAAACGACCGTAGTTTAGCATCAGGCGCATTTCAAACATCGTAAATGCACCAGAAGAAAGTATTTATGCTGAAGCAGGAGAACCCTTCCTTTATATACGTTGTTAAAGCTTTCTCTTTAGTATGCAACTTGAGTATTATTAAATGGTAAAAATTTCTGTAAGAGTAACTCTCAAACCAAATTATAACCAAAATTTTCAAACAAACCATAGAAAATGAAACCATTAGGCCTTCGTTTAAAAAAAACAGTTGACAAAACCTTAAAATATACCCAAAATACATTGTTTATTTGTTTAATATGTCGAAGAAGATATTCCTCCGAAAACAAATCCCCAGATGTTAGCATAAGTTTATGAATTTAGAAAAAGTCAACCAATTCTCCTGAACTTTTCAAAGTACTATTTTCACACAAAGTTGTCTAATATTAAAATGAAATAACATTTTACGCTGATGAACACTCCAAATGTCTCGTTCAGCGTCAGTCCAATATCAATCGAATAGTTAAAGAAAATAAAAAAAAGAAACTGTTTCGTATTACATTGTAAGAAGGAACTAAAAGATGTGTGTAAATAATTTTAATAAAAATAAGTACAGTGTCACATAATGATGTTTGAGCAATTTGTAAAAATAATCAGGCGTTACATAATTTATTAGAATCTAGAAAAGGGCAAATCATCCGAGAGAAATGAAAACAAAATTTAAAGTGACAATTACAGACTCAGATAAAAGAAAGTGTAACAAAATATAAAGAAACACTGAATCCATTAAGAACGAAAATGTTGAAGGCTCGCTTTGATTGACTTTTCCATAAACGATACTGGAGAGTACAAGCTACCATCCACCCCAAGTAGCACCGGCTTAAACAGTATTCAAACAGGTTAACTGGAAAAAATGTAAACATATATCTGAATACAATAAACATATATTATACATGTAGTTAAAAATCATTGAACGGAAATATTATTCAATGACATATTTATATAACTAAACATAAAAGTCTGATAATGGTCAGAAAAAAACGAGAATAAAGATCAACAAGGCAAAGGCAACGTTTACAGGACGCAGCACCCCGACACACCCAAGTAGGGCACCCAGAAGGCACCAAACTAAAAGCCGGGAGTGGACACAATGGCAGCAAAAGGAGAAGGAAACGTAATGTGTAAATTAACAAAAACCAACACGGGCCTATATGGGAATTAAAGGGATAAGGGCTGTAAGGGTGAAACAAAATCATTTACGTCTTTAATTAGTATAAATTATACATGTATATGTACCATTGTAACGAGAAGTGGCAAACATACATTTACCATTATGTAGTTCTAAACGTCACGTTGTGTCTGTTTGGTCGGAATTTTTTTTTTCATCAGTATGATCTCCTTTATTGATTAATGGACCTATTATATAAACATTTAATTATGAAAAATGTATGTAACACATGTGAGGTAGGTTGTCAAATAATCATTGAGAAAAAATAACAAATGAATGACGTATCTTTAACACAATTCAAATATTCTTTGTTCGCTGAGGGGAGAGAACGCTTTTTATGTCTGTTAGCGATATTCCATTTGTTTCTCTCTCTTTCATATACGAACATTTAAAATTGAGATATAGATTTTACACAATGCGTAAATTAATATAACAAATACATCTATATGAGTTAGTTAAATTAATCTAATCGTGTATTTTATAACAATATCAATCTTTGTACATAGTATATTTAATAAGGAAATTCTTTCTTAGTTCTCGTTATTAAATATCTGTATCATAGATGTGATGGTTACAACGAATTTGTTGCCAGCTAACATAACGCTTTTCTGGAAATTGTTTCTAAATTATGCTTTTCTTGAAAATACTGGTTAATAAAAAAAAAAAGAAAAAAAAAGAAACTGACATGCTAAAAAACCAACAATTTTCTTATTTCTCGACCGTTCATTTTTGCTTAAAACACAAACTTAGGCTTATAAAGTAACAAATGACCAAACGTCAATTTAACTATAAGCTAAATGGAACGTGATGTTGAAGCGAAAATAAAAGCTTTGTCAAATAAAAACAAAATGTTTCAGTTAAAACATACATTACTACATAAATACAGCAAATATATAATATACAATATAATATACATAGAATACGGTCATCAAATGTGATGGAAAATTTCTGATAAGTAATTACAATAACATATTTGGTTAATCAATAAAGAAATACTTAGTACGTTATTTACAGGACTGGTTTTGATATATTTTGTCGAATTTGAGTCATGAAGTTATAATACTCTTCATGCCTTAGTACTGTTGAGTTGATTTAAAATGATAACCTAAAGAAACATAATGATGAGCCTGGTTACATCTGTAAGGTAATCAATACGTTTGTGCCTTTTCCCAAGATGATTCCAACTCTCAGAAGTTGAGCAAAGTTGACTCAACAAACGACAAAATTTAATGTATTTATTATCTTGACACATTATCATTATGCAAATAATTAATAATTATAACATCTTCGTGATTAAAAAAAGCAGCATATTTTCTAAGATATATGATATCAGCTTTCTAAACTTGATATTTTCCAGGTTTTATGTAAATCTGCCAGCGGCATGCCATACAATCATTACGTTAACGTTGTTCATTGGTGTCACTTCCTCCTGGTGGATAGCATTCTCGCCAGCAGGTCGAGATATGTTTCTGATAAGTTGTAATAACTCATTAATGTTCCCCGAATACATGATTTTCATTAGCATTAATGTTTGAAATACAGAATTTTTACATCATTGGAAATTTTATCAGATTCCGGTCGCATATATTTAGTTTTAATGTGGTAATTATCGAAACATGTACGAAGCGACAATCTTGTCATTCTATTAAAAATACTAAAATCTCAATATTACGTTATGAATGTTTTAACAATATATGTCATTTTCGTAAAGACAATTATCATTTAATAAAACGAAGAAAAAAGTGTTAATTTACTATCGAGCTGTTTGAATATATTGCAAGTGATTTTCTTTGTTTATATGACATTCAATTTATAACCTTTTTCCAATCAACGTGCAAATCGCAATATGCTATCATGCTGACACACATTTCATATATTTTATTCAGTGATGCATCTCCCTTGTGACGTTCCATTATTAAACCTTAGATAAATTTTAACAAATTCATCAAAATTCAGTTTAAATCAATTCGAAAAATAATATTTTTTTTAAAAAGTCTATTATCGCAGGTATGATACAACAATTGAAAAATTGCTACGGGCAATTTAGGATGAATGTCCTTGTTGCAAAACTAATTGAAAGAATGATGCCAATCAGACTAAAACGCTGTTTTTTGTGTTTTAAAGTTCCAAAATTTAGATTTCAACGAATGCGTTTTTTTGCCTTTGGGAAAGTAATAATCATACGCGGATATTCATTGCGTGTGTTTGGAAGCTTTCTGTTTATATATTACATGTATAATAGGTTTGTCTCTTTTTATTGTTAAAAGAACGGACACTACTCAAGAGTTTTCCTTCAAATGATCCTGTAAACATTACCAAGGCTTGAGAAATTATAATTCAAAATTTGTTTTGCTTGTTTTATCAAATTATGTTTCCAAATGACAGAAAAAGATTATGCTATTAATGGCTACAAATATTCAAAAAAGGCGATCGGACGTACTGAAGCTGACAGACAACGAAGTTGTTACAGATTTTATCTTTCACTTAAAACAAAGTCAATCAATGGAAGAAAAACATGAGTAAGTAACGTGTATATGAATAGACAAAATGTCACAAAATCGTCTTCATGTTTTTAATAAGACAAATTGTATTGCGCTTTAAGGTTAAACGGGTTCATACTACTAAGGAAACTTGGTGATCTGACTTCATAGTATAATCAAAGACTTCCAATGTCGGCAGTAGATATAAATTACATATTATGTAAATCTGTTACCGGCATTGCATACAAGCATTTATCTGCTCACAGTGTCTCTTTGTCATAATTACATGGGGAAGTTTTCTTAATAACACGTGATCTTCGTAGTGTTAGGTACACTTTTATAGTCTTTAAATTAGCAATGATGTTGGGAACTCAAAGTTCTAATTTCATTATTTGAAGTTTATCAGATTCATTTTTTTATTAAGTTTTACTAACGTATCAATTTTCGACATGATAAACAAAATAAAAATTCATTTCATACAATACTATTTGTTTTCAGTGCTTCCTATGGAACACGCTTTACCAGATTGTCTTTTTCTGTAAGCGGAATTAGATACATTCGATGTTAATAAAACGAATGAGGTTGCTGTGCACAGTTATTTTCTATACCAATATAAATTATAGTTATATCTGATTCAATTAAGAAGATGCGTTTTATAAGGAAATTATTTCACCTGATGGAGACAAAAAGTAATAATATATTAAAGTATGAGGCAAAGAAAATATAATTCCATTTTTTTGTGGTTTTTTTCAAGCGATTTCTCTACATTTGTTCTATTTTTTGATTAACTTCGATATCTTACAAAACTGGCATTTGTTTTAGATTTTCTCATAAAATCCGTTTGAATTTCTTTTATAACTTTGTTTGAATTCTCCAAGATCAAATTTGAAAATAAAATACTTATTTAAATATGCTTTAATTAACATGTACAATTTACTGAGAGTATAAAAGAATTCTATTTTAAAAAAGCATCATAGTGTACTTTGTCGATGTGGCATTTAAGTTGATGCGTTTATTCAAATCAACGTGAAAACCATCGGAGTGAAAATAATTGGATACTGCCAGTCTGTTGTACTCGTAATGTTAATCACTGATGTATCTCCTTTGTGTCGTTCCAAACATAAAACGATGGACTGAAAAAAATTAAATTAAAACACGGTTCATTTTGAAAGTATGAGAAATCATAAACTTATTGATAACTGAGAGTTCCTCTTTTTACCGGTACGATATCACTACATATTTCAAATATGCAATAACAAACGTCAACCAAGCGTGACTCTGGTGAAAAAATATTCAAATGAGCTAAAAGGCAGTTTATTTTTTATTTGTTTTTTATTTGTTTGGGTCGTCAGACCAAACAAATAATAGTAGCGAAATTTCAGACTCTAATGCTGTTAATTGCAAGTGCCGAAAGTAGTCCGCTTTTTTGAAGCGGTTACTTCCCTTTATATGTAACACTTAGGCCGAAAAATTTAGGGGAGATCACTGCGTAAATATGGTCACATGACAGGCGGATTCATTTTCAAGCAAAATAATTCCCGAATGGTGGAAGATTCCTAATATTGTTTTATTCTTTATAAATATACATGCTCATAGTAAGCGCAATGTTATTTACACAAGTGTTAAACAACAGTTAGCGTCGTTACAAACCCTAAATAGATTAATATGGTTTTCTTCAGGCCGTTAACATATAAATGCACCGTGGCCGAGGGGTTAGCGCGCTCGCTTAGGAAGAGAGAGATCTGTTGCTCAAATCCGAATTACGACAACTCATTTTTTTTTCAAATTGTTTAAGTCAAATAAACATTGGATCGAATATCAGTGTTGCAATAAGTCTTATAGCCAATCTACTATAATTAAAACGCTGGAATGCATTGGTGTCACTATACAAAAACAAATTGTTTTATAATCTTACAACCTTCACCTTTCTGACATTCTGAGACCCAAACAAATTCAGCGCCTTTTGTGCTTTGATTAGTTAAGGGTATCACGAAAATTTGTTAATTAGCTATTTTAAAGTAACAAAAGCAATCAGTGATTACCATGTGTGTCTGATGATAACGTATTTAGAAATGATTAGACAGCAAAAAGAATCGTTAAACTCAAAACCCGTTAAATATGTACAAGTACTTGAGGAAGCGATCAATCCTGTACCATTTCATCCTTTTGTGTTGGTAGTATAAGAGAAGAAGTCCGGACATACTTTAAAGATAAAGATCATTAAAGGGTCATAACTCTGACGAAAGTCATTGAACTGGAAAATGCTGATGATTTACACCACTTTACTTGGCACTGATCATTCTTGTATTGTTTGAATGAAATTGCATCAGAAGATTTTGAGGAATAGTCCGGAGAATTTGTGTGACGGACGAACAGATGGACGTGCAAACATTTTGGTTAATTTGCTATTTCTTGATCTTTATGTGGCACTTGTCTTTACATAAACCAGTAAATATACCTCATTAACCAACTGGTTTATTTGATTTCCTTCTTTTTTAAACTACAATTATGGAAGGAATGAACTAAAAGTTAAAACGTGTTCATTTCTTTATGGCGTTTGATAGTAGATATAAATTATATATGCAAATCTGTTGCCAGCATGATATACACACATTAAGCTGCTCACGGTGTCTCTTTGCGCTCTTTGCCTGAATTAAATGGGAACTTGTTCTCAATAACACGAGATCTTCTAATTGATAGTCACTCTTTAATGGTCTTTGAATACTTGCATGTTATTTGCAATGTTATGGAACATTCACATTTCTAACAACATCATTGGAAGTTTATCAGATCTGTCTTTTTAATTTAGTTTTCATCAAAGTAGCATTTCCCGACATGATAAACAATATATTCATCAAGTATTTCTACTTTGAAAATTCTGAGTTTTAATGTTTCATTTAAATTACTACTGTCAATCAGTATAACTTACATGTATATAATTTATAAATTTTAATTTGTAAGCTAAACACTAGTTATTTTCGTATCTAAAATTTAATCTACATTTTCAGATAGAACAAATAGAGTTAAATAAATATGAAAAATATCTTACTTCAAAGAGGTATTCTAATATAGTTTTGTTGACACAAAACATGATATTAGTCATTCAAATAATTCTGAGAGCGCGGATTATGAAAGCATTGATACACTAAACGTAGAAGTCCTCTGATGACTTTATACGCGTGCCAACTTATGAAAGGTATTCGACAAATAAAAGATAACGCAATCGATATGTTGAAAAGTTAACCTCCACAAGCGTAGTTAAGTTATGCATCTCGATAACGCCCAAATATCGAACTTTTATGAATTATTAATTGAGTTAGGACAGAATGTCGTTTAATAACATATAATTGAGTTATGCAAGCTCGATATCATAATTTCATATTTACATAATTTGGAACATAAGTCAACGTTGTGACTATTTATTTAATCAAATTTAAAGGTGATAAGTATCAACATTTAATAACAAACAGTTGAGGTCAAAGAAAAATAAACTAAAATTATCACGAACTTTTTTCTTTCAATTTCAGCTTACACTTTTGGGAGTTAAACATTGCACGTTAAAATACCCTATCAATCAGGAATATCTTTTTACACAAAACCCTAAAGCCCATTGGAAAGTAGCGAAAATCGTTTTTGTTAACCATATCAAACACAATGTAGCACTGTTTCTTCTATCTCTACGAATAAAAAAAAACAGGAAGGAAATTTTTCAATAAGTAAAAAAATATTATTTTCAATAAAGAGACATGTACATGTAACATTGCTTTTTACGTTTTTTGTAATGCGGTCTTAATTAGGTTATATATAATATAAGTACATTTAATTTATTAAAGGAAGCCAAAATTAAAAAGATATAAATAACAAAATTCAAAGAAAGAGTTTTTCCATAATAACATTTCGTAAATTAAAAACTTTAGTGGTCTATTTTAAAGATGTAAATCTATATAGAAATTTTGCTATATTTATTTGTAGCAAATAAGGGACAAAACGAACAGTTAGCTATATGGAACATACTTTAAGCCGACACCGA